CCCCAAAACCCCAAAACCCCAAAACCCCAAAACCCCTTTAATAAATTTATTATTGCTATATTTGATTTTGGAATCTTGATGAAAATTAACCTATTCCTGGGAAAGATCCGTGATTCTTCCATCAACCTTTGGGTAGATTCTGTAAAACTGGTATCTAAGGTCTTCCCCATTCTCATCCTTAGTTTCAAAGTCCTTCTCAGTGTTGTGAACAAGATCCAGAGCTTTCTGAACGAGTCCTTTCTTATCACTGAACCATCTATTATTCTTGCGTACCATAAGCTTTAAGAAGTTGATCAGTGCCATATTAATGCTTAAGAGATCCTCCTCATCAGCAACGAGCTCGCAGTCTTTGAGACATTCATAGCCGTCTTTACCTTTGTAGACAAACTCTTTGGTGGTGACTGAATAAAGTTTCTTCATGTGGATAGGCTCCCCGTTGATAGTACAATCTACTATTCTATCCATTTTAGGTCTTTCAGGATCATACTTGATCCTGATTCCACTAATAGCAGGGAATCTTCCCTCCAGCTTGGGAACTTCAGATACTCCGTTCTCTAGAGCTTCTAAAAGAGTTGCTCCTGGAACCCTGATGATGAGGGTTTCATCGACAATTGGGAACAAAGTATCAATATCTTTCCATTTAAATACTCCTTTAGGAATAATACTGTCCATCCTAAATGAACCACTATTAAAGATAGCACAGTCTGTCCCAGTTGCATGTCTCACTACATCAGCAACAAAGTTAGCAATGTTAGTCTCTCTACATCTGATTTCAGCAAACCTAGCATCAAGTTCGACACCAGTGACACCGGCCGGACGGTCCATTTTCTCGTTAAGCTCCTCCCAAAATCCATCCGCAACTGCTTGCAAGGTCTCTTCAGGCTCAAATTCCGAGGTAATTATGGTCTTTTCACAAGACATAATGATCTTCTTCTTGTGATTGATTACATCTTCATGGGTCTCTGAGTTGAGGGTCTCTTCACTACAGTTCATCCTGATCTTGATCATTGAAAACTCTCTAAAGTCCGTTCCTGATTTGCACAGCATGATATCGTTAATATTGATATTAGCAGACATATGGTCATGACCTCCTAAAATAATATCCAAATCTGGTACTTTTGAAGCAAGCTTTTTGTCATTTGGCATCCTCATATGAGTAAGTGCAATAATCAGCTCACATCCTTGCTCTCTGAGCTTTGGACACCACTTGTTAGCTGATTTGATGAAATCTTCGTAGACATAGTCATCTTCTTCCATAGATACAATTGAGTCGAGCCACTCAGATTCAGCAAGGCCGATTATGCCGATCTTGATACCTTCATGCTCAAGAATAATGTGATCCAAGGTCTCTCCTAAAGGTTCATTGGTGTGGGAGTCCAAGACATTAGTCAAAAGCCATGGGAAATCTGACTTGTTTTTAAGCTCGATAAACCTATCAACACCATAGTCAAGGTCGTGGTTTCCTGCACAGGCTACATCAATCTTAAATCTCTCAAAGAAAGGAAGCATCTGGGTTCCCTTCATGGTTTGACCTAGCTTAGATGGACTATAAATATCTCCACTGAATAAAACAAGAGGATTCTTCTCCATATGTGGCTTAGTGGCAGTCAAAAACCTTGCAGCACCCCCGATAGGCTCCTTCTTCCTTGGTTGCAAGTTATAGACATCATTGAAATGCAAGATATGCATGGTCCTCTCTGATTCCATTGGTGATCCTCAGTAATAAAACTAATATTCAATAAGATTTGGACAGTAGGGGTTTTGGGGTTTTGGGGTTTTGGGGTTTTGGGG